TCCTGCAGAAGGTGGAGGCGGACGAGCTGCTGCGGGCCTGCTGCGAGTGCCGCCCGCTGCTCCTCGAGGCCCGGGCCTGCTTCATCCTGGGCCGGGAGGCCGGTGGGCTGCGCACGCGGCCACGGAGGTACCCCCCCAACATTCAACCACTCACTCATACCTCCGTCATTAATTCATCCTTCAGTCATGCCTCTTGCATGAAATTCACTCATTCATTCAACAAACGTCCCATGGGCTTGGTGTGGGGCATTCTGCCCTTGAAGAGTTAACAGCCAATGGGAGGTGCTGGGGCCTCACACCTAACGCACTTTTTCTCTTGCCCATCTGTCTATAATTCTGAGTGTTCCCTTTGTGCAAGTCTTGTGCTGGGTCCCTGGGACTCAAGAGTGATTTGAAAACACCCTAAAGGCTCTGGGAGCTCAGACTAGTAAGGGATATAAGTAGGCAGGGCCTGGAACACCAGGCCAGGAGAGGGTGGAGTAGTCCAAAATAGAAGACAAGGAAGTCCACTCTCTTACCACTGTATTTCCAACGCTAAGCACAGGGCCTGGTACAAAGATGCTCCATATTTGTCATGGGAATTAGGCAGGAAACCATGGTTAAAGAGTTTGGGATTCCTGGTGGGGTCAGAAGTCTGAGGGGTCAGTGGGAGGGTATGTATCCTGGTTCAGTGATGGGTTTAGGAGATGTTTAGGAGGGAGGCAGCAGAATTAGGGAGTGGAGGCCAGAAAGGGTAAGGAGAATGGGTTAGCATCAGACAGACCTGGGCTTGTATTCCAGCTCTTTTGCTTACTGGCTTGCATGACTTTGGGCAAGCCTACGTGTTTTAGCCTCAGTTTCCTCCTCTGTAAAAGGAGTAATAATCCCTGCCTACTAGAACTGTCATAAAGAATAAATCAGGTGATTTTTCTAAGTAAGGTTAAAAGCTTTGTAAAAGATGATTTTTCTGTAACTTAGAGGTCAGTGGAACGGGATAAGGATTGGTGATCCTTGTCCCATCAATAGCCAGAGGGAAGGTTGAAGTGACAGAGTCTAGCTCGGGGATTAGGTGAGGGACAGGACAAGGAAGGGCAGGAGGACTCTACAGTGTGGTCAGTGAGAGAGAGAGAGGGCTGAAACTTGGGCACGGATCAATGGATACTGAGCTTATCCCCATGCCAGATTCATGGACCTGGCTGAAGTGATTGTGGTCATTGGCGGTTGTGACCGCAAGGGACTTATGAGGTTGCCCTTCGCCGACGCCTACCACCCAGAAAGCCAGCGCTGGACCCCACTGCCCAGCCTGCCTGGCTACCTGCGCTCAGAGTTCGCTGCCTGTACTCTCCGCAATGACATCTATGTCTCAGGTGAGAGCAGGGCCGCATTGGGAGCCCACAGGATTGGCTCGTGGCTCCTGAGCACTGCCCCCTTTTTCCCACCAACCTGGAGATTGGGGTGGGATTTTTCCTGATAACCTAGTTTTGGCTGAAATGGTATGTAGTCCTGCACAGCCAATCACTGGTGTGACTCCACCCTTTATTCAGTAAAGTCAGCTTCAACTCATATGAATCACTTCTTATTAGCTACTATGTGCCAGGCATTATGTTAAGAGGCTTACATTAATTAATTCTCTCTACAGTCCCATTTCACAGATGAGAAAACAGGCTCAGGTTAAGAATTTCCCTATTGTCACAAAATTGGCAAAGCTAGGAGCTTTGATACCAACAGGCTGTGCCTTTCCTGAGATTCAGGCCCTAGAGACTCAGAGGATAAAACACAGTTCCTGCTACCCTGATGTACCCTGGAGAGGGGAAAATGGACTTCCCTTTATGACCTGGCTGAATTTGATGGGAACTCTCAGACCCCAAGTGAGCTGGAATCCTACTCAGGGAATCTGGCCCAACTTGCAGGGAACAGCACAGGCGACGGCATGAAGGCAGGAACGTGCAGAAAGGAACCCCGGTACTCCGGGCTCTGAAGTGCAGGTTCAGTGTATCTGTTAGAGGAGGGGAAGCCATTGTAGGTGAGGGAGGAATGGGAGTCTGGAGTCGGATCAGGCAGACTTTGACTCCAGGCCTAGGTAGTCTGCACTTGATGTTGTAGGAGCTATGGGTGGCTGGGAAGGATAAGGAGAAGAATGAGGCGGAAGCCTCAGACACCATCTAGGCCACACTTTATCACTGGACAGCTTATCCAAGGCCACTGGAAATACAGAGGCCAGGGTTACAAAACAGAGGTGTGGCTCAGGCTCTCAGCCACAGTCGTAATTGCCCCTGGGGAAGCTACTCCTAAGAGGTGAGTCCCTGGTCAGGAACCCCATGCCAGCCAGGGAGAACGAGTTCACAGCCTGCACCCTCAGTGCCTGCCCTGCCCCCCCCCCCCCCCCCCGCCCGACCCTGGAGCATGCTGTGTCCTTCACTAATACCAGTGTTGGGCTTGGGGCTGGAAGCTCTGGTTTGGATCAGTGATTTTCAGCAAGTCATTCTTGGCCTCTTACGCGTCATCCGAGTTTCCTATCTAAACTAGGCAGTAATCCCAACACCTCATGGAGGGATGAGACAGATGTGAAGCCATGCAGGTGAAGGCAGGAGTGAGACAGAAGCCCGGGGCCACCCTCTACCCTCCCCATCGTGTCGGTGGCTCTGCTTCCTCTGCTCCAGGGTACTCCTGATTCTTGCCCTGGGTACCTTCAGTAGACTTCTAAAGTGCCCCCCTTTGCTTCCCTGAGCTCAGAGCCTGGCACACCACCACGATGTACCGAGTGAAGATGAACTCACTCCCTGAATCCCTCAGGCCTCTCCCCTCAAAGTCGATGCCTGTTGTCCTAACTCAGACTTTGCCGCCACTCATTCAAAGCACACGGTCTGGGTCACACCAGCTCAGGAGAAAGTCCTTCTTGACGTCTACCCTTAACTCTTCCTTTGGATCTGGGGGCAACAGCTGCTTCTCTCTCCCCAGGAGGCCACATCAACAGCCATGATGTGTGGAAGTTTAGCTCCCATCTGCACACCTGGATCAAGGTGGCCTCATTGCACAAGGGCAGGTGGAGGCACAAGATGGTGGTCTTGCACGGACAGGTAGGGACAGACAGCAGCTGCTGCCGCTGGGGCCCGGGGTATAGATCTATAGATGTCCTTAGAGAAGGCCCTCTCTAAGACCCTCTCTCTCTGTAAGGGCTCTGAAGTCTCAAAAAAAAGGGACTTGCTCAAAGTCACATCAAAATACTAATGCTAATAGTAATTACTGTAATAGTATAGCCTACGGCCTAGGGTCTGGGCTCTGGGGCCAAATAGCCTAGGTTTGAATCTTGACTCTGCCACTTAAGACCAAAACACACACACACACACACACACACACACACACACGCGCGCGCGCGCGCGCGCTGCCAGTTATCTTTGTAAGCTACATCTCCAACTCAGAAATGCAAATAAAAGTGCTTCTTAGACTCATTTAAGGCAGTAAACCCTTAATTGCCAGCTATTATTTAAGCATTAGCTTGGTGTCGAGTATTTGACAGTTCAATTCTACATGCAGGACCCATTCTAGAGACGGATCTCATTATCCCCAGCAAGTGAGAGGAAATCTGCTAAACGAGGTTGTCACTGGGTGGTGGTAGCATGGGGGTTCCCCCGGGCCCTTTTGCTGGGGTGGGATAGCTTCTGGCACACAGCCAGAGCCAGCCCTGACTCCAGTGGGGGGATCCCCTTGTCCTCACACATAGCTGTTCGTGGTGGGTGGCTTTGATGGACTACAGCGCCTGCACAGCGTGGAGCGCTACGACCCCTTCTCCAACACGTGGGAGTCTGTGGAGCCGCTCCTGGAGGCCGTGAGCTCAGCAGCGGTGGTGCCCTGTGCTGGCCGGCTCTACGTGATTGGGGGTGCCAGGCAGGACAACATCAGCACAGACAAGGTGGGCGTGGATAGGAGGCCTGCTATGTGTTGGCGTTGAGTTGGCACTTTCTGGTCCTCATCCATTTTCTTACTTAATCCCATCAACGGCCCTGAGGTAAGCTATGTTTGAGGTCACACACTGGGTCAGCAGCACAGCTAGGCCTGAATGTTTGGGCTGCTTGGTGCCATATGGTTTTATAGATTAAAAATTAAGTGGGGGTGCTCGGCCAGGTGTCTGTTAGTTGGAGGGTCTTCCCCCACATACCCCAAAAAGGTAGCAGGTTCGATTCCCAGTCTGGGCACCTACAGAAGAAACAAGATCAAGGTTTCTCTCTATCTCCCTTCCTCTCTCTCTAAAATAAACAAAACATATCCTTGGGTGAGGATTTTAAAAAATTAAGTGAGGGCAAGAGTGGGATTAATTAAAATGTTTTTCTGCCAGCGTGTCTGATGTGGCTCAGTGGTTGAGCATCGACCTATGAGCCAGGGGGTTGCACTTCGATTCCCAATCAGGGCACATGCCTGGATCATGGGCTCGATCCCCAGTGGGGAGCATGCAGGAGGCAGCAAATCGATGGTTCTCTCTCATCATTGATGTTTCTATCTCCCTCTCCCTGCCTCTCTCTCTGAAACCAATAAACATATATTTTTTAAAAAGAAGTTTTTGTGCCATTCAAAAATATAATACTTATTATTGAAAATTTAGAAAACCGGAAACAGGAAAAAAATCACCCATAATTCCCCACCTAAGGATAGTAACTACTATTTAATATTATGGTACATTGCCTCCCGGCTTCCTCTAAATTGACTTTTGATTTTCTGTTTTAGTTTTGCCTTCTTACTGTTGGTGGTAGTGTTTTTTTGTTTGTTTTGTTTGCTTTTTAATTACTGACTTTAGACAGGGAAGGAGAGGGATAGATAGAAACATCGATGAGAATCATTGATTGGCTGTCTCCTGCACGCACCCGACTAGGGATGGAGCCCACAACCCTGGCATGTACCCCGACTAGGAATTGAACCAGTGACCTCTTGGTTTATGAATCAATGTTCAACCACTAAGCCACACTGGCTGGTGCATTCTTACTGTCAGTAAAATTTTGCATTCTACTTTTTATTTATGTTAAGAGTAAGAAGCAGAATGCACTTTCCACATGCTTAGCAACTCGTCTAAGCCATCACGTCAGTAACTGTGTAATAGGCCACTGGGCGGGTGAGCTATAGTCTACTAAACTCATTTAGTTTTTATGAATAAAAATTAATCTTCATAATGACAGCTCTCTCCTTCCCCAGATGGCCTCACAGGCTGTGGTCTGGGATTTGAATCTTCCCCAGCTAGGATCACTCGTCTTTCCTTATCCCCTGACCCTTTTCCCAGCACCTTCCTGGGGCTGGCTGAACTGCCCATTTAGTGCCCAGTACCCTCTCATGCAGCACTGACTTGTTTTAGGCCGTTCTGGGGGTCTCCAAAGAAACAATGAAACGGAGTAATGGTGAGCGGCAGCTACAGCACAAGCCCTCAGAAATTGTGAAAGGCGTCTAAACACCTGTAGGACTGGGAGGCATGTGGACAGCTGTAGTAATGAGCTGCAAGACACCCCAGCTGGAATCTTGTCATGACCTCATAGCACCAGGAAGAGGGATGAGGATTGACTGACAGTGCACGCAGCCAGGAACACACCTCCATGGGAAACCTGCTCTGAGGACTTCTATAGCACTAATGCAGGCGGCACCTCCATGTCCTGGAATGGAGACCTCTCCTTGGACATTGAAAGATGAAGATGTTTTCAACACAGGGAGTCCAGGGGTAGGAGAAAGAGGTGGAACTAGACTTGAGGGCAGGGATAATGGGTTTTCTCTACCCTCCCAGACACTAGCTGAGGCAAATACTGTGCTAAATGAGTCCCCCTGACGGAGAGAAGTGGGAGTGCATGGGCAGCAGGGCTGCTGGGGGGTGAAGATTCACCACTGCCAAACCTCCTGCCTTCCAGGTGCAGTGCTTTGACCCCAAGGAGGACAGGTGGAGCCTGCAGTCACCAGCACCCTTCTCTCAGCGATGTCTTGAGGCTGTCTCCCTCGAGGACACCATCTATGTGGTGGGAGGCCTCATGAGCAAAATCTACACCTACCACCCTGGTACAGATGTTTGGGGGGAGGCAGCCATCCTCCCCAGCCCCGTGGTAAGTAGAGGGTCCTAGGCATGGCCCTGACACTGGTCCCACTGAGGAGAGGGAAGACCCACTTCTAAGGATCTGCATCTTAGAGATAGTGAGTCTTGTGTCTCATTCCATGCTAGGTGGTCCTACATGGTTCTCTAGCTTTGCCCTCACAATGAAAATCAGCTTTGCATTTCACAAATGAGCCTGGAACCCCAGTCCCAAGTGCTGTAGCCTTGGGTGGGAAATTTGGTCTAAGTCACCTTGCACTCTCCCCTGTCCTGAAGGCCACTAGCTGGTAGCCTACTGAAGAGATGGGAGCGGGGAGCATGGAGAAGGACCTTGCTAAGTTCCCCTGCCCCAGTGGTATCAGAGAAGGGAGGCCCAGGCCCTGGATGGATACCCTGGCCTCTGTTTACCTTACCTTGTCTCTCCCACCTTTTGTCACCTCCTGAAACTCCAGAGACTGTATAGGGGTGTGGTGACACTGGTAGTCCCAGCCAGCTATGACCTTTAGTGATCCTAAGAGCCTGAGACTTCTGGCTTCTCTAAGTTTGAGATCCTAAGGCGGTGATGGTGTTAATTATTATTATTGTTACTGGAGTGCTTACTGTGCTTCAGGCACTATGTAAAACACTTTACACGCTTAACCCCATTAACTGTTAAGGGAACCTAAGGAAGGTATGACTGTTCTTCTCACTTTGCAGATAAGGAAACTGAGGCCCAGAGAGGTTAAGTGACTTGTCCAGGATTCATTTACTAAGGGTCAAGCCAGAGCTTTCTGCCTTCCATCCAATTTCTCTAACATTCACACTGCTTGCTCACATTCTGTGGGTCAAGGTTTTGTTGTCTGGCCTGGCCAGCTAGGGAAAAAGGGAGCCCCAGGCTGGACCCCATAGCTGATTGTCTTTCTGTTTGTACACCCAGGAGAGCTGTGGCGTGACTGTGTGTGATGGGAAGGTCCACATCACTGGTGGGCGGGATGATCACGGGGAAAGCACCGACAGGGTCTTCACCTTTGACCCCAGCAGTGGGCAGGTGGAGGCCCAGCCGTCCCTGCAGCGCTGCACCAGCTCCCACGGCTGCGTCACCATTGTCCAGAGCCTGGGCAGGTGACTCAGATTTGGACAGCCTGAGCCAGGAGCAGAGAGAGAAGGGAGAACTCAGGCTCACCACTCTGCTTTCCTCATGGAACCGCTATGTAAATAGCCCCTTAACTTATTGCCCCCTTTCTTGTAGAAATAAAACGCCATTCAAAGGTTGGCTCTGTGTTCCAACTCATGCCTGCTTTGCCTGGAGAAGTATCTGCTCCTTGTTTTGACTCTTTACAAAGCACCTACATGTTACTTCATTTACTTTCATAATGGCAGTGTGGACATAATTTAAAATATTATGAAATATTCCATGCATAAAAGAATATATATTTTTGTGCAGTTTAATACTAATAAAACATCTTCTTTCCTACCACCTAGCTTAGGAAATAATCTGTCACAGCCCTGGCTCATGGGGCTTAGTTGGTTAGAAGGTTGTCCATACACCAAAAGGTGGCAGGTTTGATTAAAAAAGTTTTTTTAGTCTACACAAAAACAAAAAAAGAAGTAGAATGTTAGAAATGCCTTTGTAGGCTCTGGTGTCTATTCCAAACCCATTCCCTTCCCATAGTCCTCTGAGGTAATCACTGTCCTTCAACTTGAGATTATCAACACTTTTAACTTTTAGTGAGCTAATCATTAATATCTGTATTTCATGAGGCTGCAAAATCAATGAGACATTTCTGGTCAGGAGAACAACCCTCTCAAATTCGAACACCTAGCAGAGGTAGACAAAGTTAGAGCCGAGACCACGAAAAAGACAAAGACATAGGTGTACAAGTAAGCAAACATGTCCAAGGATCAGAAACAACAGAACTGTAAAACCCCGAGGAAGGCAGAAGGTTGAGCTCTGGGGCTCAGGCTCTGAGGGATAAAGGCCTTAAAAACAGGATTCCAGTTCAGGCTCACTGCGAGAAGCAGGGCCGAGGTGCTCCACTCGTGAAACTGAAACAGAAACCCAAATGGCCTTGGGGTCCGAAGCTTGCAGCTGGGTGATGGGTGCCAGAGCCACGGGCCTTCGAGAACCCAGCCAGGCTGCATCTGGACCTCCAACATCCCAGCATCAACAGGGGGCACAAACCCCTGAGGTGACTAAGCACCTGGGTTAGCCTGGGCTCTAGAAAAAGCAACACAGAACTGCTGGATAGGAAGGGGTGATGAGAAAGGGAATGGAAGATGCCACAAAGGGAATCTGTGAGGCAGAGGCCTAGTGGTGCAGGTTCTGTGCCTGTTTCCAAGGCCCAGAGGACGAGGACTTAGCCAGACCCCATCTGGGGCTCCCCTCATTTGCACCCAGATTGCCTTTTAAAAATCTATCATAGGCTCCTGCAACTCCCCCAGCACAGGGCCAGCCCCACGCCCCTCCCATCCTCCAAAGCCCCAGGGCCCTGTCTGGGAGATCTTTCCAGCTGGGGCTGGCCCTTTACAGCCCAGCACAAAGGCCCAGGTCACAGCTGAGCTCCTACCTCCTGATTATCCCTGATTAGGGAGCCTGTGACCATCTGGACAAGGCTGATAATGGCAGAGGGGAAGGGGGTGTAGGGGGAGGCCCAGTTCCTCCGAGCCTGCCTGCCCCCACCCCAGGGATAACATCCAGGACAAAGAAAGCACTGTATGATTTGCCTGTCGGATAGGCCCTATCCCGTCAGATGCCCAAGTGGAAATGAGAGGGGCAAATCCAGGGCAAGCTCTCCCTCACCTGGGCTGGGCACCTCCTGTGTGCCAAGCAGACTGCACCACTTCCCCCACGATGACCATTCGCGTTCCCTGTGCCCTTTCATGCAAGTGCTGATGCCCCTTCCTGTCTGTTTGGGCAGACCTGATACCCTCCCGCCTCCTCCCGAATTTACCACTCTCTCCTCGTGTCCCTTATCTGCCCTGGTTCTGTCACCTGACATATGGCCAGGCCTTTGTCTCCCGACACCCAAGGGATGCCCTTTGAGGCAGAAAAGGTGTCAGCTTCATCTGTGTCCTCCAGTGCCCAGAACAAGGCCTCTCATTGAATATATTAAATCAAAGTTTTTGCTATTTTCTACCTCGCAATGCCTATGAGTTGGTACTATTGCCTACCCCACATTTACAGACTCAGTTGTAAGTGACTTGCTTACTAAAGTCACTGAGCTGATGAGTGGTGGCAGAGCCAAGATTCCAACCTGCACCCAGCTATCTCCAAAGCCTGCTCTCTCCAGGCAGCCACATCCAGGCTGCTAATCTGAGAATGTGGGTGTTACACATATGAATGAAGCTCAGCTGTTTAGAAGTAAGAGATACATCATTTCCACCGAGGAAAATCCCATCCTGATAGAATTTTGTTCCTGTCCTTAGGGGCCTCCTTGAATGAAGGGAGGCATTATTCATGTCCCTAGTGAGTGAGGCTCACAGGAACACAAGCAGAAGTTGACACCCCATATACCCTATTTCCTAGGACTACTAGCTATACCTAATACTTTGGTCTCTCAGTCTAACTAGTCCTTTTGTGGAATGTCTCCCTGGCTCCTAACCCACTGCTTTCCCACTCTCACCACTCCCTGCAGCCAGACAAGATCAGAGCATGAACCCTGAGCATGGCCCCTTGGCCGTGCAGTATGCCAGACAAAGACTTAACTCTGGTATACCATCAGAAGCCACTGGAGCCAAATTCAGTTTTTAGTTTTCTTCCCGAGCAGTTCTAAGTGAGGATTAGAATTTTATGACTGTTCTTTTTTAATGGGCTCCCAAAGAACAATGGGGAAATTTATTTTAAAAAACTAGGATATCGACCTGACCGGTTTGGCTCAGTGGATAGAGCGTCGGCCTGTGGACTGAAGGGTCCCAGGTTTGAGTCTGGTCAAGGGCATGTACCTGGGTTGCGGGCACATCCCCAGTGGGGAGTGTGCAGGAGGCAGCTGATCGATGTTTCTCTCTCATTGATGTTTCTAACTCTCTATCCCTCTCCCTTCCTCTCTGTAAAAAATCAATAAAATATATTAAAAAAAAACTAGGATATGCATATAAGCATAACCAATGGACACAAGACACTGGGGAGTAAGGGAGGCCGGGGGAAGGTCAAGGGGGAAAATAAAAAGGAGACATATGTACTACTCTTTGTAATATTTTAAGCAATAAAACAAAATTTTAAAAAATAAAACACTAGGATAAAATTCATTCTCTTACAATCACCATATGGAATAGTTGGATTCTTGCATAAATCTAAAATACATTGAGATCTTGATGAACTTAATTTTTCTGTATCTTGAAAAACTTTATTTCATAATAGAAATTATCATATTACTCGTCAATTATTCCCAACTATGTCAAACAAGACTAAGATGGTAAAAAAATGGAAGAATGATGGTATTGCCTAAAAGATGCAATGAAATAAATTACTATTACATCATCTTTCAGTTTCCATATTACATTGCCCAAAGTATTGGTTGTCATCTTTTAAAAAGATATCAAAGAAGTCTAGAGACATCAATTAAGAATTCAGGCCCTAGCTGGTTTGGCTCAGTGGATAGAGTGTTGGCCTGCAGAGTGAAGGTCCAGATTCGATTCCAGTCAAGGAATACCGGGGTTGTGGGCTCCATCCTCAGTAGGGGGCATGCAGGAGGCAGACAATAATTCTCATCATTAATGTTCCTATCTCTCCTTTTCCCTTCCTCTCTGAAATAAAAAATATATTTAAAAGAATAATAAACTCAGGACTTTTCATTTCCCACCCATAATGACAAGAAAAGAAAGTTGACTGAGGACATTTCACACTTATTACACAAATTAGAAAAAGAATGCAGAGGCACATTGCTGGACTCTAGTCTCTAAAGATAGGAAATTGGTCACATAAGCAAAATCTTTCCTAGATGAATTTTCTCAAGAACTGGCGAATGAACAATATATTTCTAAAAATAGAAAGGCACTATGGTATTTTAAGTCATAAGGCATTATTTAGTGAAGTTGTTCAACAGGATTTCATCATGCAGAATTTTTATGACAAAAAACCTGGACCATCCTGTATTGCTAAAGGGTGGTGTAGCAATATTCTTTCATCTTTTATGATGCTTATGCACCCAAATTTACTTCATACTGTTTGTTACAGTTCATAAGTGGGAATACACTGAAGACAGTTGTGTAGGTGAAGGGAAACAGATGCTATAAAAAATTTTAAAAAATAAAATTCATTGGTGCCCAGCTGGTGTGGCTCAGTGGTTGAGCATCGACCTATGAGCCAGGAGGTCAAGGTTCAATTCCTGGTTAGGGCACATGCCTGGGTTATGGGCTCCATCCCTAGTGTGGGGCATGCTGGAGGCAGCCAATCAATGATTCTCTCATCATTGATGTATCTATCTCTCCCTCTCTCTCCCCGTCTCTGATATCAATAAAAAACATTAAAAAATAAAAATTCATTAACTTGGTTATTCTAATTGATCTTTATAAATCTAAAAATAAAAATGTTTTGCCCTGGTTGGTTTGGCTCAGTGGATAGAATTGTCGGCCTGCACACTGAAAGGTCCTGGGTTCGATTCTAGTCAAGGGCACATGCCTGGGTTGCGGGCTCGATCCCCAGTGGGTGAGCGTGCAGGAGGCAGCTGATCAATGATTCTCTCTCATCATTGATATTTCTCTCTCTCTCCCTTCTTCTCTGAAATCAATAAAAAAATATATACTTACAAATAAGTTTTAAAAAGTGTTTTAAAAGTAAGGAACATGGCTGGCTGTCCTTAAATTATGAGCCATCAAAAATATTGCATGTTGACAAGGCAAGTGCAAAAACCCAGAAAACAAAAGCAGTAAGCTAGAGCCTAAATAGATGTATCTGAAATCCGGAAGCAGTTATGAGTATGTTCTAGTCACACAGAGCAGCTGATAAGCAGTTCATTACATTCAAGGAATGTTGCTCATTTTGGGTATATGTACCTTCAAAACAAGGAAAATTTGGAATTGTTTGCTGTTTTAATTCATATATATTTATGCGTATACACATGACTTTATTGATATAATTCATCCATTTGAAAAGTATAATTCAATGGTTTTCAGTATGTTCAGAGTTGTATTAATACTTGTGACGGTTATGGGGCAGTTGATGGCCCACCAGTGAGGGCAGGATGAATAGGTCACAGCAGTCCTCCCCTCAGGGGGAAAGGCCAGCTGCACCTGGCTAGGTGAAATGGTACAATACAGGCCTGAGCAGCAGAGGCTCAATGGTT